GGCAAATGATGAGCCCAAATTTTACTGGGCTAGACCCTATTTAAATACGCCGAAAAAGCCCAATGAAAAGTTCAAGAGGAGATGGATCAACCAAGGAGTCAAGTGGGAGTCTAAAGCAGAGATCAAATCCATCCTCAAAGGGGGCACCGCCCAGGGTACCCAAGGGGGCACCGCCCATGCCTTGCCCATCCTCCTCTCCTCTCTTCACTCCAATGCAAAACCAAGACCACTCCAACTCCAGGCTCAAGCTCAAGTTCAATCTAACTCAGAGTTCTCCTCCGAATGAATAGGAGCACGAGGCAAGATAATATGAAGGTAGACATCAAAGATCTTCTATCATAACAATACTTGCCAAAACAATATAATTCTTCTCCCTCACGCCACTGCCTCTATTGTCTTACCCCTAGCTATATAATATAAGCCCTCTCAACATTGAGGGCACGCCTCCAAGGCCTCCAAAACCTAAACTCATTACTCTCTCTCTCTCTAAGGCATTGTAACTATCCGGAGTACCATCATTCATCAATAAAGAACACTGATCACCGCTGCCATTTTCGAAAGTGGAGTAGGTCATCCGAGACCGAACTACTATAAATCTCTGTGTTGAATTCTTATTTACTGTTTTACCATTGATTGTTTGTTTACTACTCATTGATTGCACCTATTCACATTCTTGACTGTTGATCTTGCACGAAGACCAATTTGTGCATAATAAAAAATGGTGTTTAATAATGTAGAATTCGGATCAAGGGAGAGAGAAAATATGGAGAGAGAGAGAATAACAGTGCCTTGAATATGTAGGGAGAGAGAGAGAAAAAAAAAATAGGGCAAGATAGAGTGAGATAGTAACGGTGAGAGAGGGAGTAGGAGAGATAGAGAGAAAATAAAAAGATAGAGTAATAGTGAGATAAATGGGAGAGAGAGAGAATGAGAGAATAAAAATAAATGTTCAAAATTCAAACAAATAATAAAATTTGGTCAAATCTTTTACATATTTGATTGGAAAATAAACTGCCAATAAAAAGAGAAGAATGTAGTTTATTACTAAGATTCTAAAATCTCACTTTATGAGCTATATGCAAATGCAAAACCCCTATCCCTTTTTCAGGTATAGTGTCATAATAGATTAAGATGAACCTCTACTAAAGAAGACATCCTTGAAAAAAAAGATCATGAAGTGACAATGATCAGAGGACAAAAAAATGAAAAAATGCTCTATACAAGCGTAAAAAACAAAATGCATTATTTAAGAAAGGGTAATTAAGTAATACACAAAAAATGTCAACTGAATTATGTGCTTAATAACAATAAATTTATGTATAATTGAACTTAATAAAGTAAAAAAATTATATGTGTAGTTTCTCTCAAATAAGTCTTAAAAAATTAGCATAATTAGGCTATGGTCCCATCACTTAGTGTGTAAACCAACTTTAGTCCTAGCAATTTTTTAGTATTAAAAAAGGTCCTCCGTTATTTAAAAAAAACATTGTATGCGATCCCTGGGTTGGTTGGGTTGGGTAGTTATTGTATATTTATTACCTATTTTGCTTTCATCACATGATTTCTACCTAAATTTGAGAGATGCGAGTGAGTCAAAATGGAAGACATCATAATCCTCTTCTCCTATTCATTCTTGATCAAGAACACAAGGATCTCCATTTCTTTCTCTTGCAACAACCTCTACGATCACTCAATCTGTTTCCGCTAAGTGATTGCTCGAGTTTTCAAGTTGAAGGTGAATTGGATCAAATTATAAATCTGTTCGGTGCCTACGAAGCCATAAAAATCGATGTTGATGACCTATTTTCATGGGAATTCTTCAACGCCTCCAATGATGATGAGGAAGATCGATTCAATTAGAAACCTTATGTTTTTCTTCCTCTCTGTTTGGTTTGATTTTGGAAAGAAACGATGGGTTAGGGAGTAGTTTTTTTGGATTTTTCTTTTGATTTTGCTCTGCGCACTTCTTTCTTTTTGATTTGCGGGTTTCTTAAAAATTGGACTTGCCGACCTGGGTATATTTTGCGTACCTATTATTTTATATTTTTTTTATTACGTACTTGTTATTTTTTTAATGTGTACTTGTTATTCTTTTATTTTTTATTGCATACATGTTATTTTATATTGCTTATTTGTTATTTTTTTATTGTGTACCTATTATTTTTTGTTTTATTGTGTACCTATATTTTTTGTATTTTTTATTGTGTACCTGTTATTTTATTTATTTTTTAGTGTATCTATCTTATGATTTGTGTTTGTGAAAAAAAAATATACATAACTTTTTAAAATAAGTGTTTAAATTAGGTAATGAAATTATCGTTATTTTAGGGGTCTTTTGGAAGCCGGTATACCAAATTAGATATAATTGTAAAAAAATACATAAAAAAATATATTTTAGAAAAAAGTACACTACTGATATATAAATACGTAAATACCCATTTTGTAAAATTATCTTTCCTAAAAACTGTGAAAATGCATTTATCTTAACTGCTAAAATTTAGGTACATTTATTTCAAAATCTCTACATCTTCGGGTATCGTTATACTCCTTCTTCCTCACAAAATTGGTTCATCTTCTTCGGAAAAAACTTCATAACTCTTTGTCTTCCATAAAAAACTTCAAAGGTAGGGTATCGACTGTGATCTGTACATCGATTAACAAAGGATTTGGAGTTTCACCAGCACAAACTCAAGATTGGTGAGAGGTTTTTTCGTGATTAGAGTTTCTTCACATAGTCTCCATTGATCTTCCTTATCGTGTTCCTGAGGTTGAAAACTAGATCATGATAATCTTTGTCTTCCTCAAAATTTGATACTACAAGAGCAAAGCTCCATAGATTTCCAAAGACATGATCAGAAAGGGCTGGATTCATTTTGGGCCTCAAGTTCACAGCATGAATTGTAACAAATAGTTTTTTTGAATCCATTTTAGCTCTGACATTGACAACCTCCATGAAATGGCTCCAGATGAAAGCTTAGACGACTTCAACCTGAGTTGACTCCTTCATTATTGATTCAGAAGCAGAGCGTGCAGATTTCTTGAGGGTTTTTAATTTTGATTTATCAAACACAAATCTTTGGGTCACAATCTTCTCTTTGCTTTATGATTTCATTTGGATTGTTGAACTTCGCCATTCCATGTGTTTTTTTTTTTTGTTTTCTGTATTAACATCATGGGTTATCCAAAATTAAAATATTATAACATTTATTTTGATTTTGATTTTTTTTGGCAGAAAAATCTTGTTCCCTTAATATCTATAAGGTTTCTGCCATATTAATTCATTGTGTGTGAATAAACTATGTGTATTTTTTAACTGCTGACTGTATTTTCCTCGTAGTGTAATAAAAACAGTGTAACAATATACTGTTACAAAGACAATGTAATAAAAATAGTGTTCAGTGATTTTGTGGATGTTGTAATAAATTCAAAATAGAAATGGATTATTTGAATGAATTTATGTGCAAATATATATTTGACAAAATGCAATAGTACACTATTTTGTGCAAGTGTCTTGTTACACTGTTATTGTTATCCTGATATAGTGTTTGCATATTAAAAAACAGAATAATCACCCTTAAAATAACAAAACATATTATTGCAAAATTTAAAATTCAAACCAATTGATTTATCCTCACCGTAAACAGAAGAATTAAAGAATCAAATCTTCCATTAAATTAGAAGATTTTTAATTCATATATTTATCCTAAAAAAAAAGGAATGATCAAATCTTCCATTAAATTAGGAAGAATCAAAGAATTAAATTTTTTCATTAAATTAGAAGATTTTTAATTCATACATTTATCCTAAAAAAATGGAATGATCAAATATTCCATTAAATTAGGAGATTTTTAATGTATACATATAATCTGAAAAAAAAATAGTTTCCAAAAATTAATCGCATGAATTAAGGGAGCACAATTGTCAAAGAAAAATCTGAAAATTTCAAATTATATATTTGGACACAAATAAGAATTAAAATTAAGGACTTTTTTCTTCTACATTTTTTTCTGTGTACTTTTTTACAATTAACTCCATAAAGACAGAGTTTCAAAATTTAAAATTCAAACAAAATGATATATCATAAAATCAAGAGATATTTAATGCATAAATAAACAGAATATTAAAATAGTCCCATAAAATTCAAAGATATTTAATACACAAATGTAATTAAAAAAAAACGTATAGATTAAGGGAGGACATAAGGTTTACAAAAAAATCTGAAAATTTTAAAAAATGTATTTAGACATAAATAAATATCAAAATTAAGAACTTATTTACTCTATATTTTTTTATAATTAACTTTAATTTGATATAGCCATTCCAATTTTCCCTTATTTTGGACCCAAAGACAGGCCTTTAAATCCCTCTAAAAAATTAGACGCAGCCCCAATTTTCCCCTCGTTGGGATGAGTTGAGCCAGCCCAGCCGGTCTGAATTGTACCCTAAATTCCAGAAACGATGAGATTTGGCGGTAAAAGAAAAGAAACTACCCTGACATGTCAATCTCCTATTGGCAAATTGTGTATGTGTGTCGGCTATCCCTAGAATGACATGAAAATAGAGGCATGGCATGTGATGTTGTTTTTTCCCGCGCGACAACACGGAAGAGGGTTCCGATCTTCCCAAAAGAAGAGAGAAAAAGAGGCCCAACAAAACACAGAGAGCGAGAGCGAGAGGTTTTGATCTCTGTGACTCTTCAATCAAACTTCTGGCTTTGATCAGATCCCATCGAGGAGATGTTCTTTTTTTCAGCTTCAAATTCTACTGATTGAATAGTTAGGGTTCTGGTTTTGCGGATCTGAACAAAAGTGAGATTTGGAAAGGTTTGTTTGCTTATTCTATCCACAATTGCAGAGCTTTTCAATTTCAATTTCTCTTTCTTAGTTTGTTTACTTTTCCCTGTGATGCGTTGATTTTCGTAGTGGCGTAGTGAGTAATTACTTTGGGGTTTGGGTTTAGTTTTTTGGTATCTTATGAGTCCAGGCCCAGCTGCTTCAAAGATGGAAGATGTGAAGCCATCAAGTCCTTCCAATGATTCGCATTCCAACCATGGTGGCACATGCACCATAGAAGCTCGATTCATTGATTTTTGCCAGGTTTTTATTTTTATACTCCTTTTATTGTTCTTTTTCCCTCTTTTTTTCCTGTTTGCTTCTATTGTTATTGCTAGTTCATTGTGCACAGCTATTTTCAAAAGTCCGAAACCAATTAAGTTTTGTTTTTCCCCCTGATTTTGTGTGTTCCTTTTCGGATATTTATTTTTAATTTTTACATTCTTTTTGACTTGTTTGATGCGATCTAATCCCAGAATGGATTATCAATGGATGAGAACACTTTGACTGAAGCCACGAAGCTGTTCAATGAGAGCAAACATCTTCTGTTGTCAAATATATCTGCCATTGGGAGTGGGGCAGTATGTCTCATGATTTTACCAAATTGGCTTCTTATTTTTTTCTTTTCCAATTTGCCTATTAGCAATTGCTCATTTATTTGTTTCATGGAAACTTTAATCTATGGCTGATTTCTATATCCTTTGTGTTTCTCAATCAGCCAGAAGAAACAGAACGGTACTGGTTTGCATTTGTCTTGTATTCTGTGAAAAGATTAAGAGAGAGGGAAGCAGATAATTTGAACCAGGGCTCCAATGAAACTGGGTTTACTTTATGCGGCATCTTGAGAGTTGCAAAGCTGAAGTATGTTATTCTATTTCACTTATTATTGTTTCTTTGTGAAAATTTTCTGTTTCAATGCTGATAGAATATCCTTGGCTGCTTTACAGCGTCGTTGATTTTTTCAAAGAACTTCCCCAATTTGTTGTTAAGGTTGGTCAAATATTGAGTAACCTATACGGTGCAGACTGGGAGAGGAGATTGGAGGTACTGATATAGTGGAGGGTTGATCTTTTAATGAGATTATGCCTGTTTGTTTCTTTTATTTCTGCTCCTGTTTATGGTCTTTTGAGCTTTTACACATGTTTTGTTGCCTTTTTTCTCTCAATCAGGTAAAGGAGTTGCAGGCCAATTTTGTTCACTTGAGCCTTTTAAGCAAGTGGGTACTGTTAGGTTTGCTTTTCCTTTTCATGAAGTTTTTATTGCTTTATGAATATGTGGTTGACTAATTAGACATTACTAGAATACTCTTACCTGAAAAAATGTATTAGATGCATGTTTCTATCATTTTTTGGGGGGAGTTTTATGTTTGCTTTTGTGTACCTACTAGTCTGGTGTCCAATACCACTTGGTCTGTGTTTTATTTTCTGTACTCATTATTTTTGGATTGAAGAGATGAGGCTAGAATGTCAATGAAAAACATTGTTGTGTCTAAGTGGCTAATTCTAATGATTGTCAATGTCATGCCACTGGTGCCAACCTTCCAATCCCTGTTGCCATTTAGTAGCATGATGGTAGGTGTTGCTAAAAAATAGTCCGATGTTTCTACATTCAGATTTCTTTGATCTTCTTTATTGTAATGTGTATGCTTTATTTGACCGCCCAGGACATTATAAAAAATACTGTCATATTTTGCTTAAGAGTTGCATTTGATTGTTCAATCTTGCTTTTTTTTTTTTTTAATATTTGTGTAGACATATACATTATTAACTTTAGATTTTACTCCTTGGATGATGAAAGGTACTACAAACGTGCATATGGGGAATTTTTTTTAACAATTGATGGAAATTCTAAGCAGTCTGCTGTTGCCAATAGCATGGGATTTGTGTCCGACTATCATCGTTTTGGGTGGTTGCTATTTCTGGCACTCCGTGTCCATGTGTTCAGCCGTTTCAAGGACCTTGTGACTTGCACAAATGGTTTAGTCTCTATACTGGTCAGTTGCAGTCCTAAATTATTCATCTCTGCTAATGAAAGAATATTGTTATCATATTATCATAAGTAATAAGGTTACTTTATTTTTCCCTAATACTTAATTATATTGGTGACAGGCTATCTTGATTATACATGTTCCTGTTCGTTTCAGAAATTTCAGAATTGATGACTCTCGGTTTGGTAACTGTTTTCTCTATCCTTTCTCTTTCTGGGATTTGTTGGGGATCTTAATGGTGTTGGTAACAATGAATTTGTCAATATGCTTGCTCTCTCCTCTTCAGTTAAGAAAAGTGACAAAGGTGTGGACCTACTTGCATCACTCTGCCATATTTATGAGACCTCAGAAGATGATTTGAGGACAACAATGGAAAAGGCCAATGATTTGATTGCATATATTTTGGAGAAGAAACCTTGCTTTGCATCCGAATGTAGAACTGAAAACCTAGACTATATCGACACAGGTTAATCTCAGTATAATCCCTTATTTTACTACTGTTTTTGTGTTATATAGCTTATACATAATTCATCCTCACTGATATGATTATACCCCTTGATGCAGATGGTTTGATTTATTTTGAAGATTTAATGGAAGAATCATCTTTGTCTTCCAGTCTAAATATTCTAGAAAAGAATTATGAGGATGCAATTCATAGTAAGGGTGAAATGGATGAGAGGATGTTTGTTAATGAGGAGGATAGCTTACTTGGTTCTGGGAGCTTGTCTGGAGGCATCATGAACATAAATGGGACCAAGGTATGTTTTTTAAAAAAAGCCCAACCGTTGACACCCATTAATTGACGTAGCTGCTCAAATTAATTTTGTTCTCTCTCTCTCTCTCTTGTGCAGAGGAAAAGTGACTTGATAGCATCCCCAGCAAAGACAATAACAAGTCCCCTCTCCCCCTACCGTTCTCCCTCTACATCTCACTCTAATGGCATCATTGGGGTTGGCAACTCAAAGATGGCTGCTACTCCTGTAAGCACAGCAATGACAACTGCAAAGTGGTTGCGCAACGTCATCTCTCCACTTCCATCTAAACCCTCATCAGAGCTGGAACGATTCTTGTCATCATGTGACCGGGATGTAACTTCGGATGTGGTACGCAGGGCTCAGATAATACTGGAGGCTATATTTCCAACTGGTATTCTTGGGGAGCATTGTGTGAGTACAAACCTGATGGACAACATATGGGCAGAGCAACGTAGAATGGAAGCACTGAAGTTGTATTATAGGGTTTTGCAAGCAATGTGTACCGCAGAGGCCCAAGTTTTGCATGCAAGCAATTTAACTTCTTTGCTAACTAATGAGAGGTTCCACAGATGTATGCTTGCCTGTTCAGCTGAACTAGTTCTTGCCACCCATAAGACTGTGACCATGTTGTTTCCAGCAGTCTTGGAGAGAACTGGAATTACAGCTTTTGATCTTAGTAAGGTGATAGAGAGTTTTATTAGACATGAGGAAAGTCTTCCAAGAGAATTGAGACGACATCTGAATTCCCTGGAAGAACGACTGTTGGAGAGCATGGTATGGGAAAAGGGATCCTCAATGTATAATTCTCTGACAATTGCAAGGCCAATTCTTTCTTCAGAAATAAACCGTCTTGGGTTGTTGGCCGAACCAATGCCATCGTTGGATGCAATTGCGATGCGTATTAACATGTCTTCTGTGGGCTTGCCTCCTGTATCGTCTTCACTAAAGCGTGAAGCTTCCCCCGGTAATAACTAAACTGATTCTTTTTTTTTCTTTCCAAATATTGAGGTCATATGTATTGCATGTAGTACATTCTTATTGGGATATATTTTTCTTTAGATATGTAAACTCATTTCAAGAAGGAGTTATTGCTTTTTGATAGGCTGTGAAATAAGTAGCACAAGAAGTAGGTTGATGGATTGGTATTGTTTCGTTGTGATGAGCTATTAATTTTTTGTAGGATTACATGTTTCTGCTTAATATTTTCAGGTCAGAATGTGGATATTCGGTCTCCAAAGAGAGTATGCACTGAATATCGTAGTATGCTGGTGGAGCGGAATTCCTTCACATCACCAGTGAAGGATCGCCTTCTGGCCTTAAATAACCTCAAGTCAAAGTTGCCACCAGCTGCTTTACAGTCTGCATTTGCTAGGTACAGTCATAAATTCCTGGAATCAGAAGTAGCACAAGTACTCTATACAACCTAGGTAATTTTTTTGTTGTCTAACTGTAAGTTCTACAATGAGATACTTCTCTGCAGTCCAACAAGGCCAAATCCAGGTGGTGGAGGGGAAACTTGTGCAGAAACTGCAATCAACGTATTTTTCTGCAAGGTATTACTAGTCAACACAATACTAGAATTGTGATTATCGCCATGCCATCTAGTACGAAAATCCTTGAAGACCTTGTATAGGTGGATGCATTCTGCTAATGTGGAGGAGTTAGATAGGCATATCTTCTCCCCACCCCCTCCTCGTCTCCCTCCTTCCTCTCTATTGTGTTGTTTTATTTTTCTTTTTTTAAATTCTTCTTTTTTGGGCCGTTTCTTTTTTTTTTTTTTGGGGGGGGGGGGAAGGGGGGTTTGGGTTTGGGCGTTGACCTTTCTAGGGGTTATGGGGTTACAAAACCAGGCTTTTTACTGGGGTGGGCTATATGATTTGATTGTGATTTGAGTCATACACCATTGATAACTTCCCATCCACACACACACACATAATGTATAGTAGTGGATGTGCCATTTGCTGCTTATGTTATTCTGTCTCCATATCTTGCTTTCACTATTAACTGATTGTTATTTTGGTGTAGATGTCCTCTGAATTCTGCTTTGGTTGCATGTTTGCTTCCCTTGCCTCACCGTTAAATCATGCCATATTCACTGAGTTGGGATTAGTTATACTATTTTATTCATTGAATTTTTCTGTTATCCCATCTTACTGCTTATATCAAACATTTTGTCCTATTCAGATTGTAAAGTTGGCTGCTGTCAGAATCAGTGGCATGGTTGAAAGGCTACAGCTGTCTCAGCAGATTAAAGAGAGTGTATACTGTCTTTTTCAAAAGATTCTTGATCAGCGGACACCTCTATTCTTTAACCGTCATATTGACCAGATTATCCTTTGTTGTTTTTATGGAGTTGCAAAGGTTTGCCCTTAGATGCACTTGAGAATGTACAGGCTACTATTTGGGAATTATCTTTTTTTTTTTTTTTTTGTTTCTTGTAATTTTTTATATTCTTTTGTTCTGAAACTGCAGATTTCCCAATTGAATCTGACCTTTAAAGAAATCATTTACAACTATAGAAAACAGCCTCAATGTAAGCCTCAAGTTTTTCGTGCTGTGTTTGTTGATCGGTCATCAGCGCGCCGCAATGGGGTATGTTACTATCTTTAGTCCTCTGTCCTCAGTCTTCTCACCTCAAGCCTTTGAATGGTTTTGGAACAGAAAATTGTGCAGGACCATGTCGATGTCATCATATTTTACAATGAGGTATTCATTCCTGTGGTAAAGCCTCTACTGGTGGAGTTTGCTCCTGCCGGAACAGCTCAAAAATCCTACAGGGTTCCAGAAGCTAAAAATGATAATGACGGTAAAATTTATTTATGACTTTTCATAAATTGGAACTCAAATTTTCTTTCTTTGATATCCTTTTCAACTGCCTTGTCTACAAGCCTGACTTGCCTCTTTTGGTCTTTCGTGGTCAATTAGATCAATGTCCTGGATCACCCAAGACGTCTACGTTTCCCTGTCTTCCTGACATGTCTCCAAAGAAAGTATCTGCGGCCCATAATGTATATGTCTCTCCATTACGGTCATCAAAGGTATTTATCTTGCTTGTGGTAATACCCCTATGGCATTTGTGGTAATACCCCTTTGGAATGCCATAGGACATTATTTCCCTTATAAATGAAGAGCCTAGTAAAATTTGAATTGTTGTATTTGTTGCATCTCCATCCTTGTATGAATGTATGTGATACCTTCCCTAACCAAGGATCTTGTCACGGGGTGATTCACTGGGAAATCAAGTTTTAGAATCTGCTTCTTCCCCTTATTACAATTCTTTGAGCGACCTATTGTGTATTATAATCAAACTCATCAAAGGGAGCTTGACACCTTGGACCTATTTAGAGAGAGCTCCAATCTCTATATTTATGATTAAAATTTGGTTTAGGGTTTTTATTAATTCTAGAGTCCTTTAAATAGGACTAGTCTCCTTACAAATATAGGAAACCTATAAGTTTGGCTCCTTATAAACGAAATCACAGAAAGACCTAATTAGGAGATAAGTCTCCAACTAAGCAACAATAACGTTAACAACAAAATAACAAAACAAAGCCTAAGCGATATAATTCCAGCTACTTATTTGCCACGCCTTCTATAAGAGCGACCCACAAAGGAGACTATAACATCACCCTCCCCCATAAGAAAGAGCTTGTTCGCAAGCTCAAAGTCCAGGTAAGCATGTTGGAAATGTTTACGGCTTTCCCAAGTGGCATCAGCAACGTCAGTATCAACCCAATGCACTAGAAGTTCTCAAGTGCCTCTATTAAAACGAGCCTGCAATACTGAAGCCGGGGTGGGAATGACACGACCATCTTTTACGGGAGGCAGCTGTGGAATGGAGTGTGGAGGTTGTCCTTTGTAAGGCTTAAGAAGGGAAACATGGAAGACGTTGTGAAGCTTTGATTCAATTGGTAGTTGAAGCTTGTATGCTACGGTTCCAATGTGCTACAAAATGGAAAATGGACCATAGAATTTCTGGGACAGCTTGTGGCGGGCTGTAGTAGAGACAGAGTGCTGACGGTATGGCTGTAGGCGGAGCCAAACTAGATCCCCTACAGCATATTGCACATCTCGATGCCCCTTGTCGTAGAACTCCTTCATACGTCTTTGGGCCTGCTGCAATTTAGCCCGTGTCATTGTCAAAACTTGATCACGAGTAAGCAAGGCCTGATCCACGGCTTCAACTCTAGAGGACCCAGGTATATAAGAAAGGAGACGAGGTGGTTCACGCCCATACACAACCTTGAAAGGCGTACTCTGGAGGCTAGTATGAAATGATGTGTTATAGCAATATTCAGCCCATGGAAGCCACTCAATCCAGCTTTTAGGCTTATCCCCCATGAAGCAACGAAGATACATTTCAATGGTGCGATTCACAACCTCTGTTTGTCCATCTGTTTGTGGGTGGTAAGTTGAGGAAAAGGCAAGCTTTGTACCACTGAGACGGAAGAGTTCCCGCCAAAAATTGCTTGTGAAAACAACATCCCGATCACACATAATGGTGTCCGGAATCCCATGAAGACGAACAATCTGCTCCATGAAAACATGGGCAACTTTGGTGGTAGTATACGGGTGAGCCAGATGAATAAAGTGGGCGTATTTTGAGAATCTATCCACAACCACAAAAAGAATTGATTTGCCCCAAACGTGGCAACCTATCGATAAAGTCCATGGAAACATCCGCCCAAATTTGAGTGGGAAGGGCCAAGGGTTGAAGTAATCCAGCTGGGCTAAGATTTTTTGATTTGTGGTGTTGGCAAATTGGGCAAGAGGACACATAATCGGCAATGGTTGACTTCATCCCTTTCTAATAAAAATCTCCTTTGACGCGATGTAGAGTCTTCTGGATCCCCTCATGTGCACTATCATGATAACTAGACAAACCTGAAGCAATCAAAGGAGAAGAGGGCAGCAAATAAATACAATTTTTATAAAGAATCAGCTCTTCATGAACAGACCAACTAGAATCTTTTCCCCCCTTTGAAACCTGTAAAGATAGCTCTTGTAAGGAAGAATCTGCAATTACTTCCTCACGGACAGCGTCTAGAAGCAAAAATCGAGGGTGGCTGATTGCACTTAACACCTTTTCATCACTGGAGTGCCTTGATAGAGCATCAGCAGCCTGGTTTAAATAGCTAGCCTGATATTCGACGGTAAAATCAAACCCCAAGATTTTGCTAATCTAGTGTTGTTAGGGAGAGGTTGTGATCCGTTGTTCTAATAAACATTTCAAGCCGTAATGATCGGTATGGATAAGAAAGGCTCTTCCCCACAAATAAGGTCGCTAATGTTGCACTGCCTTTGCCAACCCGATCAGTTCCCGTTCATAGGCAGCAAGTTTTTGGTGCCTTTCAGCCAATTGGCGACTAAAAAATGCAATAGGGTGGTTGTTTTGTTGAAGAATAGCCCCGATACCTCCTCCGGACGCATCACATTCAACCACAAACAACTGATCAAAATCTGGTAATTGCAATACCGGAGCAACAGCCAATGCTTGCTTCAATTTATCAAAAGAGAGCTCGGCGCTCTCATCCCAATGGAAGGAGTTTCTTCGCAACATACTAGTTAATGGTGCTGCCAATTGCCCATACTTAATGAATTTGCGGTAATAATTGGCCAGCCCCAAGAATCCGCACAAGGCTGTCACCGATTGTGGTTTTGGCCATGCTGTTGCAGCTTGAATTTTTGTCGGATCCACTGTTACACCAGTGCAGAAATAATATGCCCAAGGTATGTAACTTGGGTCTCCCCGAAAGCACATTTAGACTTCTTCAAGTATAGATGTTGAGCACGCAATAATTCAAAAGTAACACGCAAGTGGAGCAAGTGATTTGTCCAAGAATTGCTGTAAATTAAGATATCATCAAAGAAAACCAATATAAATTTGCGTGAGAATGAAATACCTCATTCATGAGTGCTTGAAATGTAGAAGGGGCGTTGGACAAGTCAAAGGGCATGACCAAGAACTCGAAGTGCCCATGATGTGTCCAAAAAGTTGTCATCTCTACATCCGAGTCATGCATCCTCACTTGATGGACCCTGATTTTAGATCCAATTTAGTGAAGTACTTGGACCCATGCAATTCATCAAGTAGCACGTCTACCACCGGAATGGGGAATTTATCTTTTCGTTCCTCCACAGAGAAACGTTTATTCCAAGTTACAACATAAGAGCTATTTTCACTATCCCTTTTCTTAATACCCTTATTCTCCCTTCATCCGGAGCTGCCGTAACTTGGGCTCATCATGCTGTACTCGCGGGGAAGGCATAGCAAGGCTACGTGGTCTTCTCTTCCCACAGCTGATTCTATACCAGTCTTCTATCCAACAGCGCTTAAATTCACAAGCACCTCGAGAGGACACAAGGGATTTCTCTTTCGATATTACCCCTTGTGCTTCTTCCATGATCCTCTGATATTCTAACGCCACTTTCCGATCGGCGGGGCTACTAGGACTTGGGTCTCTCGCTTGACCACCAAGTTCCATCATGCTTCTTAACCAGTAAAACCAGCAAAGAGAAGGGAGATTTGTTTGGTCGAATGATCCTTTGTTGAAGCATCTCAACACACTGCTTTTCGATTTCTTTATTCTGTAATTGTGGGTATCGATTAGGCCTGACTACCACAGGTCCCGATTAGGGTTGTAAACAGATTTGGTGGTCACAATGGCGGAGAGAAGGTAGGCCAGATGGCTCCTGGAACAGATCAGTAAACTCGGTTAGAAGCAGCACCAATTCCTCCCGATGAGAATGGGGTCCGTTAAGCAAGTGAAGCTGCCGGCGATGGTGGGGCTGCATTCCATATAATATAATTCTATTGCCCCGGAATGTGAAACTCATGGTCAGAGATACAAAGTCCCAAAGGATGGGTCCCAGAGTTTGCAACCATTTGATTCCTAATACCAAATCAAAAACCATCCGGGGGAAGAACAAAAAAATCAACGGTAAACTCATTATCATCAAGTGAAAAATTACCGCATTACAAATTCCCGCACTGTGGACACTTTCTCCATTTGCTACCAAGACACTTGCCCCTGTTTTAGGTTGGGCATTGATTTCGAGGCTTTTTGCAGCTGTTAAACTAATGAAATTGTGCGTACTCTCCGAATCTACCAAACCCCATAAATTCTGATTGTGCAAGATAGCCTTCACTTGCATGGTGTGTGCCCCTTTTTGACCTGTGATGCGTGTAGAGAGATCTCTGGTTCCCCATCGATAGCGGTTGCTGGTTCCATCTCACCTGAATCTGCCAATTCAAGCCAGAAAAGCCTTTTACATTGATGCCCAGCTGAGTATGTCTCATCGCAGTTGTAACAGAGGCCCTTAACTCTTCTTTCCGCCATCTCTGTCCTTGATAACTTCTTGATGAATGGTGTGTTCAAGGGTTTGATCGCCGTTTGTCCTCCACCAGCAGCAATGGTAGTACTTTTGGGTGGCGTAGTTACTGCTAGTGCCCTGGAGGTGGTGCCAGTATTACTGTTTAACCATGAACCCTTCTTTGGCTCGGCTTCTTTCAGAATATGATGTTTAGACTCAAAGGCTCTTGCTAAATTCATCGCGTGAGCCGAATCAGGTGGGGCGTGAAGCTCCACATCCAGACGAATTGAATCTGCAAGTCCCGCGGTAAACAAACTCACATGCTTATCAACTTGAACAAACCTGTTGGCTCTTGCCAATCTTTCCTGAAATTGCCTGATAGTCCTTTATTGACCTGGTCTATTTCAAGTTCACCAATTCCCCCAACAAATTGCTTCTGGCTGGCGGTCCAAACCTCAGAGAACAATAGTCGTTGAATCCGGCCCAGCTGATTGTGGGTTGCTCAGATTCTAACTAATGGTACAATAGATGCGCTTCGCTAAGCATGTGGAAGGCAACCAATCCCACCTTATCCCCTTCCTGTGTATGTTGATTGGCGAAGAACTTCTCACACTGATGCAACCAGATTAAAGGATCTTCAGAGCCATCAAAAGTTGGGAAGTCCAACTTGGTGTAGTGGGGAACGACGCCGTTACCTGGTTATGGTGTTGCACCTTGCAATCGATTTCCTGCGTGACGCACTTGGGGTGGCTGCTCTTGTGGGCTGTTG